GTGCGCAATTGGCTGCCGCGTTCGCCCACAAATATACAGTCAATTCACTTTACAGTGTGTTCTGTGAAGCGCTTTGGGACGTCCTCCCGACGTGAAAAGCGCTATATCAAATGCAAGGATTATTATTATTATTATTATCCCTCCAGGGAGAGAGTGCATATTCCATTACAACAATCTGTCTCTGGGATTTCCATGTGTAGGTGGGATGCATAGAAATCTCAGCTTGGTTTGGGTACTCTTAAGCATGGAGATGGATTTCTGCGTATGTCAAACACCCAGCTGACCAAAAAAAATCTTTACCCTGTCAACTAACCTCTGATTCTTAAGGAAAAGAACTATTGGCATTTGTAGACCTTAAGCACTTTGGCAATGCAATCTATTTATCACAAATTTCTCACTAAATCATTTCATTAAAAGTTTCCTGGCCATTTTACAGATTAATTTTCAGTGGAAGTCTTTCTGTGATCTATTGGTCATGAGCATAGCAGAATGAAAATACTGAATTCAGCAATGTTCTAGGGATTATGATTCCACATGTTAACAGCTGGAAATAAAAGGGCTTCTTGTGCTCAATCTCCCCATCCTTATTATTGTTATATTGTGGCTGCTGAAGTACTCAAATCGCAATAGATTCAATTTAGCAGTAAACACGTCAGCATGATAATAAGCTTTAACATGCAGCATTTACTGCTCAAACACTTCTGTGGCGATGAATAATATGTGGAAATCATTTTTTTTAGGCCTTTCGATGCACACATTATCATACAGGTTAATGCTACCAGGACTGAGTTAGATTTTAATAGCTGGAAACATTTGGTTGTGCCAGCGATGTGCAGAGAATTTTCTAAGAGTGCTATTACGTCAAGCAGACATCTTTTGGGTATGGGTTGTCTGATGTTTGGGGCAGTGTCTCCATATTGGGAAAGAAGTGATGCCAACTCCCTGCACAAGTCTACCTTCTACTGGCTAAGCATAGAACACTAAGGCTATAGTATTTAAGGCACTTAGGAATCCACCACTCACTCCTCCTTTTTGACAACCCAGGCAAACAGCACTGATAGAAATCTGGGGAAAATGATAAGAAATATAAAATTAACAATTCCAAACGCAACGGGGAAGGGTTTACATTAAAAATGGTACTGCAACACTAACACTAACTAGTTTTAAATTTTAATTAATTGTATTCTTATTTTCATTGATTATTCATCAATTGCACTTTTTGATTTTTTTACTTTGCAAATGGTATGAATATCAAAAAAGTGAACTGGTTCAGTAGATTTTCAAGAGAAAAGTAAATAGAATCCAAACTGGAAATCAAATCAAGTCTTGGCACAAGCTTAAAAAAAGGACACAGCTGATACATTCCACAGGCGTCCTAATATGGTTTAAAATATGCATTTATTGGAAAATCTCTGAAACTGAAGGCACTAATGAGCAGGAGGAGCTTTGCCACATCACCTGCTGAGCCATGGGACTCAGACTACCTCAGAAACCAGAAGCACAGTCCATGCTTTCAGAAAGGACTCACTTAACAGGTTAGGTGTGAGCATAGCACAGATCTGCGGCGTCTAACTTTTTCTATGCCTGGTAAATGTTATTGTTAAATGTCAAAATCTTAATATTCTCTCATTTCTCCCACTTTTGAAGTTACAGAAAGGATCTCAGTAAATTTAAGTCAACGACAGGGCATTGCACAACCATTAACGATGACTGAATTTACACACAGTCACTATTCATTCAAAAGCTCTACTGTTACTATAAATAAGAAAGTAGTGATATACCCAAAGCATGGTACAGTATTTTGTTCAGTTTTTAATACTGGTGGGAGAGGGGAAATCTAAACTCCCAGTGTTATTTTGTCCATTGTTAGCTCTGCAATAGAATTCTTGCAATTAAAAGAATTTGCCATTCATCAAGGCAATCTCTTGAAAGAGCAATGCTCTGATCAGATGGTTCATTTAAGATATTAAAGGGGATGACAACCTTTGGAGATCATAAATGTCTAACTATATTTTAAACAAAAATCTAAAATAATTTACTATCTATTCATTAACAAAACTCATAACTACATGCACTACAGAAAAAAACAAGGACCCTGACTGTATGTCACCAAGGTAAATACAAAAGGTCTCTGTTTAATGTAACCTCTGGTGGATTTCACCTCTTGCAGGAAGCAGTATTAGTCTCCTAAGGAATAAAACCTGAGCTCCAAGGCTTTAGGGGCCTATAGCAGTTTTTAAAAAATATTAAATTAAACAAGCATTGGATATATTTAACTGTGAAAATAGACTAGTCCAAAATCCAACTTGCCCAGTGCTGAGCAACTCTGTTTCTCAATGAGTTTACATTCACAATCTACCATTTTTAACATGCAAGAATCACCAATTTAAAATATTAGCTAAGTGTTCAGTTACAACATCAGATGCTACAAATCAGAATATTTCCCTCACCTTTCCCAGAACAAAATAAGCATCGAAGAACCAATACTGATTTATTTTCAAGGACATGCAAATCTGTGCAGAATATAGCTCCCTCCAAGCATTGAAAGTCAATGATTATTCCAGTTTTATTGAGAAAGAGGTTTATTTCTTGGGGCGGGGTGAGGGAAATCTATCGAATACTTCGTTTGAGTACACATGCCACACAGAAGTAATGATTGTTGTTGCATATTATCGTGTTGCTTTAATGAAGATCTTGCTTTAGAGATTTGCATAGTGAATATATTGCAGAATTCTTCAGGGTAACCAGTTCAGAGTTTCCTCAAACCAATTTAATAGATCTTTAGGTGGTTCAATTTTTTGTTAAAAAAAGAATTAGCCTTGTCCTGATGTGGCCCTGGACCCAGGGTGCTGGACACTCTTTGAAGCTTCTGAATAATAAATGCACAGTTAAACAAGAACATTTGTAGTTAACTACTAGGGCTGCAAATTGTAAAATTAGCACTCAGACATACAAACCAAATCACAGCTATTGTCGAAGGAACAAAAGTAGAACATTTAAAACACTTTGCAAATCATGCGTTTTAAAGGCTCTCTCCATCCAGCTGTATTAAGATTCATATCTCGTCTAACGTGCTACTGTAGGCAAAAAAAATAACCAGGACAAAATGTGACTGGGCATCTTTCCAATCAAGACAGACAGACAACATCATTGTAACCCAAAGGCATTTACTACGTGTACATAGCTGACTTCGTCTTTTTCCAGTTTAAGAATAGCCCACAGTCCTTTTAGCCATTTAGTCAATTCAGTTTGAGATCCAGTGTCTTTGGCAGGCGTGGTTGTTGTTTTCCTAGATTTTCCATCCGAAGAATATTTTAATTGCCAAACATTAAAAATCACAAATTGGTTTGCTTCCCAGTGCCCAGGAAAATAATTTCAAAGCAAATATGAAATTGAAGCATTCAATAAAGTTTTCACAGATCAATACCTGAGTCAAGGTGATCCACTCTCAAGCTTTCTAACCCTACTAAAGAAACTTTACCTGTAAATCAGCAACAATGATATAAGCTTCTTTACTCTCTGCACTCATGCCCCTCTCTGGCTAAGGGAAACCACATGCATTTGCTATGCCCCTCATCTGCATGCTGGAACACATGGAAAGTTGTACTTTAAGGAAATTAATGTCCTGGTGAGATCCGGTGATCTAACCCAGGTGGTAGTTCAGCAAGTGCGCCCCCCACGCCCCCTCCCCTCCAGCTGTATCCTATGGAGTGACCGTAGGGGGGCGCTGGAGACAAAGTACAAAACTCCCCCCCACCACCACCCCCACCACCATACAGTTAAAAGCAAACTTCAATAAAAATGTACCTTATGTAAATGAAATACAGGATAAACTGAGAGAGGTATTTATATGCCAACCTATACATTTCTTCTATACTTTTTTTCCGACGTTAAATTGTCCCCCACCCCCCCTCCCCTGAATTGCACTTGTAACAAACGATGATTAATTATATCACAAAGCGTTTTTTTTTCTGCTTTGCCCTTAGTTTATTCAGACTATGTTAATTCCACTCAAGCACGGTGCAATTTGGACTCTGCACACAACTCCAATGTGGAAACTAATTGTATTCTAACTTATAAATGAGGAGTTTCTTAATGGCAGTACGAATGCAATGCAGCATTTGCTGATTTCCCTTGTTTTTGTCCTGCAATAAAGGTTTATTTAGATTTTGGCTTGAAACAAGTGGAGCAGGGCTCGAATTGCACACAGCAGCCTGTGTCGACATGGATGTCCTAATGTCTCAGATGCAAAAGTTTGCCCACCAACAATTTATTTCACTTGGCTGTCATTTAAAATGTCGCCTCTTCTGACAACCACCTCTCTGGCAGAACTGCTATCGTGCAATTAACCCATCGATGTGACGGGTCTGAAGCTCTTGATCTAAAAACCTCTGCTGGAGTTTTCACCCGGACAGAATATATCCACATACACCTTACGGACCACGTCCCACAGCCAAAGCGACTTGAGCAAATATTTGAACTATATGCATTGCCTATTCCTTGCAATAGTTCGACGATGTGGTAACACTGCCCCCACACACCCCACAGCTGCGATTCACCTATTTGCCACTGTACTTCCCCTCGATATGAAGCGGATCGTGTTCGGTTGATCCATTTAACCGTATTCAATGTTATTGAAACAGTTTCATTCAATCAAAACAACTCAAACCCCAACAGACAAGACGAGAGCTGCGAAGCGACTCTGATATCAAGACTGCACAAGTGTTGCCATAAGATCATTTCTACTTTAAAAGAAAATAAAAGAACCTCTTCGGCTCTTTCTAATAAGGAGGGTGGGAGGGGAATAATAATCATAATAGTAGCACAGCAGAAAGTTTGGAAAAGGTTATTTATTGAACACTGCCCCACACACACACACACTCACACACACACACACACACACACAAAAAGAGCAGTGGTAACACTGACTGCAAACAACAGTTTCTCTCTCCCCCAACAAACCACCCATCACCACCACCATCACCACCACCAGGTCTTACCTCCTCTGACACTTGAAGCGTTAAGAAGAAAGAAAGTAAAAGTTATTATGGATAGAGTGGAGTCCAGGAGCCACCTTTTCGTTTTCCACCTTGTGGACGACCTTTCCATCTTCACTGATCGGTGCCCACAACTGTGAACAAAATCTGGGCGACTTCGGGGATGAGATCTAAATTCAATCCCTTTTAATATTATTATTTTTTTTGCAGCAGCAGCAGCAACAGCAGCACTTCCCCCCCCCACCCCCCCAAACAAACAAACAAAAAAGGGTGGGTTTTTTTTCTATACAGCCATAAGTGAGTGTGCGGTGTAATCTTTCTTTCCCAGTCCGGGTCCCACGGTCCTTTCTTCCCTTCCTTCCTCCCCAGTGTTCAGCCTCCAGACTGAAAATATTAGGGCTTTATCAAAATGCAAAAGAGCATTGGATACCCCTCAGTCACCGTCATAGGTCTGCGCAAACACCACAGCCAGGGGTGGGCAGTGTGGGGAGGGGGTGAGGAGGGGAGGGGTGGAGAGGGAGGGGGGGGAGAGAGAGAGAGAGTGTGTAAGGGGGGGAGGAGGGGGGGGGGGTGGGGGCAGAGGGAGAGAGGGGGGGGGGATTTTTGGTTGGGAATTGCAGGAAATTGACAAGAAGCAGACATTGGCAAATCACAACTTACTGAGATGGACTGGAATCGTTCAGCAGCAAATGGCAAGTCAGAGCAAAGCTGCTCCACCAACTGCAATTGGAGGATGGCAGTCAACCATCTTACTCTGAAAAACTTTTACACCAACCCCCCCCCCCCCCCCCACAACACCCACCCACCCACTCCTTCCCTCCCTCCCTTCTTCCACCACCTCCTCCCCACCAAAAAATAACATAAATCTCCCAATATCCTCATGAGCTCTCTGGGAATGAAGGGAATGGCAGGCAGGAGACAGACACTCACACACACACACAGAGATAGCACCTGAACTAACCACCCCCACCTCAAATAAAAGTCACTGCCAGCTCTGACACTCTGATCATCAAACCCAAAAGTGAATGAGAATTAGTCAGGAGGGAAAACGAGAGAGAGAGAGAGAGAGAGAGAAAGAAATGAAAGGTCTCCCACCCAAAAAAAGAATGAATGAAAGAAACGGTACAAAACGCCCCATGGGAACTTTTAAAGAAAAAAAACCCACACACACATTAAATGTACTGAAGCAATCGTTCAAAATCGACATTTGCGACTGGATTTCTATGGTTGCAACGAGTTTGCAATCATCTGACAGTCCAATGGTTTGCTGTTACTATCACTCTCTCTCTCTCTCTAAACCACTTTCTTCTGAATCTCTCCAAGAGTCTACGTTAGTTCAGACTTTTTGAAAAAAAACCTTCCACTTTTATTTCGCTTGTTTTGCTAAATGGGAAACTTTTTCCTTTTTTTTAAAAAATAATTTTAAAAATATATTAACCCCCCCCCCTTCCCTATAAAACCGTTAGAGACAAGTCTGTAACTGTCTCCTGGGTAGCAGGGAAGCGAGTTTGAGTGCAAAAGAAATCTGCAGTGTGCAGCTCAAACCAAAGCTTTCCTTTTTGAAGGTTACAAAATGGACATAAACCAGTTGTGCATATATGCATATACATATATATATATATGTGTGTCATTAAGTAAGGGCAACTCTGCCTTCATCAACGTAACTTTTATACATTTCAGGGTTGTATAACCTCTCGCCAGATTGCTTCTAAATGTAATGAATGACTTGTCTAATTGACCTATACAGACTGACCATTGTGTGTTCTCCTGGTAGACGCTGGGTGGTGGTGGGGGGGGGGGGGGGGGGGGCGGGGGAAGAGTGAAGGAAAATATTTCAGCCCCCAGACTCAGCGATCAACGTTGCAACTAAATATTGAACTTTTTTTCCCCTCTCTCTCTTCCACGTCTCACCATAACCTTCACAGCTGAGCAAGTCAGAAACGCATATTGTGTACACATGGGGATTGGGACAGCACTACCTGGGCATGATTATCCAGCAAATAAAGTCCATTAAAAAAAAGTCCCCCCCCATGTTAAAGTTGAGTGTGTGTGTATCATGATCTGGAACGTTTACCTGCACATATTGCATAAGTAGACAGACAGACAATAGACACAACCCAAAATGATATGTGCAGTTGACTGGTGCTAAAAAGCAGTCAATGGTTGATCAAAAGAGTATTCATTGCACGAAGCCTGATATCCTCACATTCAATAAACTCACTCAATTGCAGCCAGACTCAATACAACAAAAGCCTTCCCTTTTTTAAAGTAATATTTTTATCTACCGCTCTCACTCAAATGGAACCTAACTTACTAGAATTCGAATTTTCTAAAACAAGGCAATTCCCTTTCACCACATTGCCCTAGAATCTAACAGCATAGAAGGAGGTCATTTAGCCCATCATGCCTGTGCCTGCTCTTTAAAAGAGCTTTCCAACTGGTCTAACTCCCCCGCTCTTACTCCATAGCTGTGCAATTTTTTTTCTTTTCAATTTCTTATCCAATTCCCTTTGGAAAGCAACTATGGATTATAGTCACAATCTTCAATCAGTTGAACATCTCGAGTTTTCCCAGTGATAACAATGGATGTTGGAGAACACAGCAGCATTATATTGAAGCCACCACAAAATTAGACTTCTTCCTTTTAAAAAAACATGTTAACCGAGCCCTACATAAATTGATCATTCACCAAATTGACAGCACATTAAAGCATTCAACTTTGTTGAAATTACAATTTATATATTCAAATAAGTTATATTAAGGTGGAAGGAGAGATATTTAACTTTGGAATTGATGTAGTCCATGTAGTTTGTTGCATTACACATTAGTAATGCCCAAGGCAGAAAGCATTAGTGGGAAAATGTAACTGGCACACTATTCACCCAAAATAAAATGCAGTATTCCAATTTCCATTCTTCCATTAGTAAGTACAGATATTTTACAGTCAAGTTGGCTTGAAAGCTAAATCTTTGTAAGAAAAAAATCAGGTCTTCATGGTTAGAAATTGGTTATTCAAAACTAATTTTAATATGTATAACCACTGGAAATAGCTGCTGTGATGATCAAACTCCTAGGTGAAATAACTACTTTAAACCTGATTCATCAAAATGTATGGAGCCCACAAGTAATTCTCAGCAAACCTAGACAAAGTGGAACAATAGTTCATAATAATACATGTTAGATGGATACTTCTTGACAGTTTTTCAGAACACAAGAATAGAAGATGGAATAAGGAAATGTCATTTTGATCATCAAGCCTATTCCTATTACAGAATATGTGTAGTTTGCATTATCGACGACAATGACTTTAGTGTCCTAGGAGGAACATTCTGTGAATTGTACTCTGAACCAAAAGTGGAAGTTTTATAAAACTGAGGCGGAAGTTTGTAAATCACATTATAAGGCATATTGTTTAATATATAAATCCAAGTTGTTGTTGTTAATGCAAAACATATATATTGGACCCAATAAAGGAAGAGTCTACCACCATATGCCAACATAGCAAAGTGCTTCATAAGTAATTACTGTAAAGTATAGTGACTGTTTTTGTAGGCAAACACAGCTACTGGATCCCACAAACAGCTATAGAATGAATGCCAAGGTAAGGTCGAGGATTGTTGGCATGGACTCCAGGAAAAACTATTTTCTCTTTTTGAATATTGTTATTGTATGCCCACTTTAAAATACAGAAAAATAATTTCAAATGAAGTTAAGACGCACAAAGATTACCCCACTGACACATTCATAGCTTACAGCTGTTTTTCTCCAATGACTACGCTGACTTAATCTTGTATTTTAGAAAAATAAAATTTTCTCACCAGTTGGCAAAGCTCTCAACTAAATTATCTTTCATTTGCCAAGAATCATTATTTAAAGGAATAAACTCTACACAGTATTTCTAGATCATTGGGAAGTAGGTGAAGAGCGTATCATTATAACACACCTGCAAAGCTCAGAAGTTTAACACAAAGAGAAAGAAGCAGTGAAGGACTACACAAGTATAACATGCAAGCTGGTCAGTTGCTTTGCTGTCAATTTATCAAAAATATAATCTAAAAATTACCCTCGTGGGTTGAAGTATGGAATTTTCCAACATTGCTGTAAAGCAACAATGTGTTGGATTTAACCCAGTTGGCAGTGGGATGCTATATTTAGCCCAAATTTTGCTAACTAAAAACGGAGTGTGTGTGTTTGGAAGTGGGAGGCAGTGGTGGACTGGGAGAGTCACACCAGGCAGTGGGTTGCCTCCCAATTGTGATACGAGCTGGAAAGCACACGTATGGACAAGGGCAGGGCTGGGCTCCAACCTTCAGTCAAGGAGTTTGCTAGCACTAATCATCTACACTTAATACACATCAAGTGCCCACTTGCTCTTTGGACAAGTGATAAGTTCTTTGTGCCCATGGAATTATATCCTTCCACAAGTTGCTGCCTTCAAGAGGGGAAAAAAGGGAAACTACTGATACCGGTAAAAGTGTGACATAATGATGATAATGTTAAAGAGATTGAAACACACAAGTCGCTTAATTTCCCCTAAAGGACAAAATATTAACAGAATTAAAAAAAAAAGAATTAACTGAATGAGTATTCTAACTTAGCCTTTGAAATGAACTGTGTTATCCTTTATACAATTCCATTAGCCTAGTTTATTGCTGAGAATCAAACACTTTTGCCAAGTGTATGTAAGAATTTTAAGGTGAAAAACAGATATTGGAATTTGGGGTTCTCAAACAAAAAGGGACAGGGTTAGCATCATCATTACACCATTTCTGGGCCAAAGCTAGCCAGAAAGTACAGAAAAAAAGAGGTCTGGCTAGAAGTCCAGCACTTTGAGAGAATGACTGGAATAATAATGAACCATACTTGAAAAGGCCAAGTGTTTTTCCTGATCCAAAAGAGGATAATCATTGGTGACCCTGAGTCTAAAACAACAACAAAGCCAACAACAATCTGTCTGACACAATATATCAGAACAATGCCTTTACATCATTTTAACCTGATTCCCATGGTAACCTGAATTCCTGCCTGTAGTGAGGTTGGCTGGTATTGGAAATATAAATCTTATACTGATACAATGGGGCATAATCTTCTGAGGGAGAAGTTCATATGAGACATATCATCGAGGGAGTAATGGGGAAGATTGCTTGATGCTGATATTGAAGCTGTGTGCAAAAGATGGAAACATTTGCCATTCCTTAGCATTACCACTTTTGATGAATAGAG